AACTTAGGAGAATGGAGGAAGTGGTTTTTTTTTTAACCCTCCTCCTGTCTATGACATTATGGCAATGTTCTAAGGCTGCATTAAAACCACACTGGGTCTTATTTTCTTTGCACTTAGCCCATGATGCACCCCCAGCTGTTGTAGTCTGTGGATGGCGCTTTGTGGCTTAGTGCAACAGGCAAAGCCACTCGAGTGTGTTTTGAATGATAGCCACGCTGGAGGGAAACCCCAGGAGTTGGGCAGGAGGTCTGGGAAAACTGCTCCACCATGTTTATCTCTGCAGGAACTCCTGTATGGATTTCACGAGAAGACGGTCCATAAAACATATAAGGAATGGTTGCTGGAATTGGGTATGTCTAGTTTAATGAAGAGAAGGACGAGGGGGGACATGATAGCAGTCTTCCAATATCTCAGGGGCTGCCCCAAAGAAGAGGGAGTCAAGCTATTCTCCAAAGTGCCTGAGGGCAGGACAAGAAGCAACGGATGGAAACTAATCAAGGAGAGAAGCAACCTGGAACTAAGGAGAAACTTCCTGACAGTGAGAACAATTAGCCAGTGGAACAACCTGCCTCCAGAAGCGGTGAATGCTCCAACACTGGAAGTTTTTAAGAAGAGACTGGACAGCCATTTGTCTGAAATGGCATAGGGTTTCCTGCCTGAGCAGGGGGTTGGACTAGATGACCTCCAAGGTCCCTTCCAACTTTATTATTATTATTATTATTATTATTATTATTATTATTATTATTATTATTATTATTATTAGTCTCAAGTCACTCAAACTAGGAGCAGGTAACTAGAAGATGGGGTGGTTTGATCTCGCTACCCCTCTGGATTCCTCATGATTTTGGTACAGGTTGTCCTCGAATTTACGACAATTGAGCCCAAACTCAATGGCTGAGACATTTAAGTTAAAGAGCGTTTTGCCCGTTTTACGACCTTCCTGTTAAGTGGATCACTGCAGTTGTTAAATAAGTCACACGGTTGTTAAGTGAACCCGGCTTCCCCGTTGACTTTGCTTGTTCGAAGGTTGCAAAAGGGGGAGTCAGGTGACCCCCGGGACGCTACAACCGTCATAAACACGAATCAGTGGCCAAGCGTCTGAATTTTTGATCACGTGACCACGGGGGGGGGGAACACGCTTCCACGGTCGTTAAGCATGAAAAACGGTCATAGGTCATTCTGTTCAGTGCCGTCGTAACTTCGTTAACAGTGTCGCTAAATGAGCTGTCCAGAATTCCCCCGTATCCACTTCCCTGCAATTCTTAAAGTCTCCTTGAGGTTCCTCAAATTTCAAATCCAGATGTTGAGGGTTGGGCGGAAAAGGGAGCAAAATGAGGTGCCAATAAACGGGTGAGAATTATGAAGGAGGCCAGATGGAAACCTGGAAATCAGGGGTTAGGTGGGAGTGAGAATTGTGCAGAAATGTGCAGCCCAGAGCTCCAGGGGTCTTCAAACTTGGCCCTTTTACGACTTGTGGACTTCAACGCCCAGAATTCCTCAGCCAGGCACGCGTGCCTGGCTGAGGAATTCTGGGCGTTGAAGTCCACAAGTCGTAAAAGGGCCAAGTTTGAAGACCCCTGACCTAGTCCAATTCAGTCCAGCAAGAGCACCAAAATGTCCCCAGAGAAAGAGAAAGAAAGCAAAATTTGGAAAGAGACCCTGGTCATATCCTCACAGGCGAGCTGAAATCCTGAAGAGAAACACTCTTCCATAAGTAAGATATACATAAGTATATAAGATATACATAAGTATATATGGCATATCTTACTCCATAAGTAAGATATGCCATATACACCAGGCTGCAATCAATTAAGTCACTTCTTCATTGGCTTGCAAAGTACATCTCTTTTTATGAGTTAGATCTCCCCTTCTGGGGAGTTAAAAGCGTCCCCTGACTGACCAACACATGTCTTCTGACTGGAGACAGAGGAGGTGAATGTGAGGTTCACACAACTGCTGGGCTGGTCCCGTTCTGGCTTCATGCACCGTGTGACCCATGGCTGGTTTATGATAAAAAATAAACCACCATTGAGTGTGAATGACAAAGGGGAAACAGAACCAGGGCTGGCTTGCTAGCTGTCTGATTTTTATTCTCATACAGCATTGACGGGAGATAACTCGAGTCACGGTGACACACCTCCAGGCTCCGTGGCGGAGGGTCCCTCCTGTTCCACCACAATAAGGCCCTGGATGGGGTTTTTTTTTTGGGGGGGGGGGTGCCTGGCAAATTTTTTTAAATTTAAAACAAAAATCCCCTTTTGAGACGGTCAGAAAAGACTTGACTCTGCAAAGATGCCTCCGTCAGCGCGATAGGTCAAAACGTGGGGTAGGAAATGATAATAAATAAATATGTCCCTATTAGGAGAGCCGGCCTAGTGAGGGATCCTTAATCTACCACGTGCCTGAAGGGGTTTGCAGCATTCGCCCAAGCCAACTGGGATGGGGTTGAGAGAGGACGCTTGATGCTCTCCTCAGCTCATGAATGGTCAGTGAGGGACCACCAAGTGGTTTTTCTTAAGCTGCCTAAATTATGCCTGGCTAGCATTTCCACCCAAGGCATGAGAACAAGCAAGGAGGTTGACTGTAGTAACTTCAAAGCTGGAAGGCAGCCAGCTTCGTAGTAAGAGAGATTCTTACCCCATCCAGGTATATTATACATTCTCTCTATTTTATTTTATATTTTTTTGGGGGGGAAAAAAAAAAAGATGAAAACCCCAGGCCTCCATTTGAAGCAGGTGGGGAAAGCCGAGAGCCTCGCCATGCATTCGGGTCAACCGCCAAGCTGGCACTTCCCTCGTGCCATAGAGAAAAAACACACTACCCTACACACACGCGCGCGCGCGCGCACACACATACACACCCATCCTGGGCTCGGTGCCAGGAAGGCGCGTGAGCAATGCCGTAAACTCTCCGGTTTCAGCACCAGGGTAGAGGACCTTCCACGCCTGCCTGCCCATTCCTTTGCTGTCTCAAGGCAGCCAGGGCTCCCGGCAAGCGGCTTTGATCTGCTGGGAAAGCAGCAGTAGCAGCAGCAGTGGGGTGGGCTGGGCTGTGGGGAGACAGATGCTCTATGGGAGGGGAGAGGACTCAGGGAGACAGCAATGGAGGAGGGAGGGAGGGAGGGAGGGAGGGAGGGAGGAAGGAAGGAAGGAAGGAAAGAAGGAAAGGGGGAAAAAAAGCATCATTCAAATGCAAGGCAAGACCAAAACCGGGAGCAGAGTTAACCATTGTAATTTCTGGGTTGGCTCCGGATGATGTCATAATGGCAGACAGCAAATGCAACGGCTAAGCGCTGGGCACCTTGTAAATCTCTCTGCCCATGTGACCTCTAATACCGAGATTTGGCCGAAATACTAAATGATTTCTTAGCGTTTTGAAAGGAGAGAGAGAGAGAGAGAGAGAGAGAGAGAGAGAGAGAGAGAGAGAGGGGGAAAAAAAAAATCAGGAAAGGAACGCAAACGGGGTCCGGGATGCTGCCTCTCCTGGACCAGGGGTTTTCCGCTTGCTTCCCTGTTCCAGCTCTGCCTATGTATGTTTGTGTGTGTGCACGCATGTGTGTGTGTGTGTGTGTGTGTGAGAGAGAGAGAGAGAGAGAGAAGGGGAGGTAAGGATGGGGGAGCCCAGACCTTCCACTCCACCAGCACACACCCCTTTTCCTACTACAAAGGCAGCGCTAGCAACCACATTTGCTAGAGTACAAATTCCTCTCCCGCTGTTGCTACCAGCCTCGCTCGCCACCCCCTCCTCCTCCATCGCCAGCCTCCCATTTTCAGGAGAAACACCCTCCACCCTTAAAATAAAATAATAATAATAATAATAATTAAAAAAACACCCAAGCATACCCCTCCCATCAAACAAGCCTTTGGTCCTTTTGCTAGACCTAGCCCCTCTCATCCACCCCCACCCCTTTTCCCTTAAAAAAAAAAAAAAAAAAAAAACAGGGACCGGTGGGAACAAAAAAAAAAAGAAAAAAAAAGCCAAACGTTACAAACGCCCCGAGTGTTAATGAATGCAAACAGGCTCGCTGCTGCTCGCCATGGTGGGGAGGGGAAGGGGGGGGAGGTGAGCGGAGCCAGCTGTCCCTTCCCTTTGCTCAGATCCATCACCAGCTCGTTCAAATTAAAATGATAATCATCAATACTTCGAGTCAGGCCGGCCCCACCCCCCTCGCTGCCCCACCCCCACCCCAGACAGATAATGCTCCCCAAAAATGGATGCAATTTGGAGCGAACCAATTAAGAGGCGGATAGAGAGAGATTAGATAGATAGATAGATAGATAGATAGATAGATAGATAGATAGATAGATGGATGGATGGATGGATGGATGGATGGATGGATGGATGGATCACACACATACACACACTCGTGTGCGCGTGCAAGCACCACCCTCCCCAACAAGCATGCACACATCCCTCCTTTTTACACCCATCCCTATCCACGGCCCCTCTTCTCCCCAAAGCCCCTTGCCGTCTCCCCCTCCCACCCTCAGAAATTTCCCGCTGCTGCAACAGGAATCTCCCGGCACTGCTGAAGGAGGATTTGTAAAAAAATAAAAAAATAGGAAAAAAAAATGGGGGGGGGGGGAGAAGTAAAATAATAATCATCCGCATGGCACCGAACGCACCCCCCCTCCCCTCTCCCATTCCGGTGTGTGCCGACCCCCGCCCTGGTCCCCATCATTCTTGCAATATCTGGTTGCTATGCCAACAGCCCCCCCTTGCCCTCTGAGAGAAAAGAGGGGGGGGGGAAATGTTTAAAAAGGAAGAATTTTTTTTTAAAAAGGGTGGTGGGCATAGAGCGGAGGGTCTTTGGTGGGGGAGGGGGAGGGAGAGGAGAACGGCTTGACCCCCTTCCCTAGACTGGAGTGTCACATCGGGAGGAGATGGGGTGATGGGGAAGGGAAGGGGGAGAGGGAGAGAGAGAGAGAGAGAGAGAATGAGAGAGAGAGGGAGAGAGAGAGAGAGAGAGAGACAGCAAGGCAAGGGGTGTGGTGGCTTACCAATGATGCTGATCTGATTGTGGCAAACGCTTCTCTGTTCCGGTAATGGAGGGCCTGATTCTGGACCGAATGAGTAGGCCGCAGTTCAGGCCTGCGCTCCCCGTGGCCCACCTCATCCCTTATGAATACATGATCCTGCAGAAATGGATAAAAAGAAGGAGAATGTCCAGTTGTGCTTTTCCCTCTTCGCCAGCAGCCTCTCGCTCACCCTGCTTTTCTTCTTCGCATAAGCCCGGCTCTTTGAAATGCATAGTTTGGACTCTCAGGCTAAAAAACCCACACGGCGGCAATCGCGGCGGTGCTGCTGCCAAAAAACACGAATCAGGAAACACATTGCAGCCTTCGGTGTGTGTGAGAAAGGCAGCCACCAAAAAAAAAAAAAAAAAAAAATGTCAGCTGATTGCTAAGTGGGATGCTGCTGCCTTCTGAATCCCTGGCAGGGTTTTTTCTCTCTCTCTCTCTTTCTCTCTCTCTCTCTCTGCTTTCTTTCTTTCTTTTTTTTTGGGAGGGGAGAGGAGGGGGGAGATAACCTCCAGAAATCACATCGGTGCAAAAAAGAGCATCCGAAGCACCACCACCACCACCGCCACCGCCGCTGCCTCCGCCGCCGAGCACTGCAGAGATGCGAGAGTCCTCAAAAACGCTGGCTGGGAACGGTGCACCCAAATAATCGCTTTAAAAAGATGGTTTCCATGGCTAGGGAAAATGCTGCCGCCGTTGCCGCTGCTGCTGCCGCTGCTGAACACAGGAGTAAGGATTTCTCTCATTCCCTTGTCCAGCCTGGTTTTTTTTTTTCCTCTCTCTCTCTCTCTCTCTCTCCCTCCTTCTTTCCCCCCCCCTCGGAACTCGGCTATCTGCTCTGGAGAAGCATGTTCTGCCTGGATGGCTGCAGCCTGGAGGAGGAGGAGGAGGAGGAGGAAGAGGAGGAGGAGGAGTGGGGGAAGGAAGGCAGGGGAGGTGGAGGAGAGAGAGAGAGAGAAAAAAAAAAGGAAAGGAAAGGAAGAAAAAAAAAAAAAGAAAGCCAAAAAGGAAAGCAGACACCCCTCTTTGGCTCTAATCTGGTTCTCCAAAGATTCGGGGGCCACTCAAAAAGGCTGCTTTCTAGTCATGATCCTGCACGGTTCTAGCATTTTCTCTCCATAGCTTTGCAAAGGATGAGAGGAGGATGGTTGGTTTTTTTTTTTCACATTTAAAGAGACAGAGCACCCTTTCCTACAAATGAATCCGGACCCCAGGGCTTCCGACAGGCGCGGGGAAACCAGGAGGAGAATTCGAGCCTTGGGCTGGCTTGCGCCCGCGCTTGCCTTCCTCCGCGTGCACCTTTGGGGGTGTGCAGGGGTGGTGTGGCTGAAGGAGCTACAGAGATGATGGGGGGGGGGAAAGACCTCTGACACAGAGTGGGCCCCGATTCAGAAGACACCCCCGCACGTGCCGGCCCCGTGCGTGCCCACGTTGGGTGGCCCTGAGATTTGCTAACCCCCGCCCCTTCCCCCCCGTCTCCCGAGCCTCAGTGGGTCATCTGTGAAATGGGAATAAATTGCCATCTTCTACCAGCAACCGGGCTGAACACGGAACGGGCACAACGGCGTGTGCTAAAAACCACTTAGGTGGGGTTATCTGTGGTCAAAGGAACGAGAGATGCTGGCAAGTCGTCGTGGTGTTGGGACGTATTTCCTAGACAAGGGTGACCGACGCCAAAAGACAAAAAGAAATTTAAAAAGTCCACCGCTTGCATTCTGACCATGTGCAGGAATGCGGGCAGCCTGAGCGGACGCAGGGAGGCCTTGTTTAACGACCACCGCTGGGACCGAGGTTGCTGAGCGAAGCGGTCGCTCACCGAAACCGCAACGGCGCTGCTGAGCTGACTTTCAAGTTTGCTGGGTTTTGCAGCCTTGCGAAGGTCACCCGTGCAAAGGCTGGTGATGGTAAGGGGATTTATTCATCCCCGTCGTAAGGCTGGGACACGAGGCGGTCGCTAAACAAGGACTCTGGTCTAGAATGTATCGGTTCTGGTGCCGTTTGCTGCCAAAAGACACTTGCAGAAATATGTTAGTGAAGTTGCCAAGAGAATCTAATGGCTGGAACGCACATTCGTTGTTAAAGGAAGCACAGGGAGAGGCAATGCTGAACCACTGCGGGAGGTGGGTTCACTACACACAACAAACACACAAGGGTGTGGACCACAGACCAGGTTCTACTAGTTGGCCAAATTTTGACCCCGGGGGGAAACCTGGCTTAGGGTTATGATTCTGCCTGCATCCACACACCTCTCCTTCAAGGTGTCCAGCCATGCCGCTCCGGGTGACTCAATGATGGGCAGGAATTCCCAAAGAATTCTGGAAGAAGTTCCTCAAGCAAAAGCACGTACAGGTAGGTCTTTGACTTATGACAATTGGGACCGGGATTTTCGCCCCTAAGGCAGTCTTTAAATGAGTCACGCCCAATTTCGATCACCTGAGCACTGGGACCCAAGGTGGTGCTTTTCCAGTGGTGAAATGTCTATGGCAGGGGGTCTTCAAACTTGGCCCTTTGATGACTTGTGGACTTCAACTCCCAGAATTCCTCAACCTGACATGACTCTTTCTCACACTGACGTCTTCCACGAAAAACAAGAAAGTCCAGTTGCCTCCTGAAAAAGCACCTTTGGGACAACCGTGGACCTGGACGACTGAGGATCTCCGTAGACGTATGGGATCTGGGCAGTGCTTTTGATCCCAAAAGATCCTTCGGTCCAGGCTGGGTGGGGGTGGGGGTCAGGAATCTGTTTGCCCATGTTTAAAGCAGCCAAGTCTTTTCTTGAGATGTATTTGTGGTGGAGAAAAGACATGGCTCCTGTAAATAGCTGCAGACAGGTGCCTGGGCTTGCCAAAATATTTTTAAAATCAAACTGGACCACCCGCGACCCATTGGCTCATCCTTTCAGAGATACAGGTAAACAGAAAGACAATGGGAGGGGGTGGGAAATACCCTTGGAGCAGGAGTGATTTCCGACTTCCTGCTGTCTTCCCCAATGACTTTGCTTGAGAGAAGCTGGCAGGGAGGGTTGGAAATCGCAATCATGGGGACCACAATTGACCACGGCAATGCTGCGGTATGAATGCAAAGACATCTGGGGCGAAGATCCTTGAAATTTCAATTGCATGGTATTCCACGTACGCGTTAAGTGAGCTGTGGCTTGATTCAAAATTTTAGTGCTAGGGTGCAAAGTTTGGGCGTCCAAGTTGCCAACAGACAAGCAGGCAGGTGAGTTTTAGTAGGATATAGATGTGAAGGGCTGCGCTACAAAAACTTATTAGTCTCATTAGGTGCTTTGGTGGCTCTGATTCAGGGACACGCGTTCTACTGCATAAATTTTATCTGATAAGCAATATATTGTTATTGCAGTAACAAAACTGTGCAATCTTGCTCAAGGTGCATTAGCCAGGATTTTTGGCAAGGACTACGTGCATTGGGCCCAAATAATTGAGAGGATGTGGGTTTCTATAAATTACTGCTAGTGAGGAAGATCTATCTGCTTTGACAATATTAGGGACAACTATAATTTATTTGCACTGTTTGAAGCACAAAGTATCACCTATGACACCCCGGACCGTGGCCCACTGTTCGAAACCGGGTTGCGGGAAAGATGGGCAAGTGCGCGCACGTGTGATGCTCCACTCGTGCGAGCGGAGGGCGTTTGCGCTTGCATGTGAAGCACCCGCCTGCCACTCACATGCCTCCTCCCTGCGCCGGGCCAGGCCGCCAAGCTGGAAAGGTTGGGGACCACTGACCTGTGGGGTCTAAATTGAACAGGGGTCAAAGGGACCTTGAGATGGAGCTTGCAGCAACAGTGAAAATCTGAAGTGGCAATGAGCTTTATCTGGCTTTTCCCAGGCGAAGCTGCCCGACTGGGAAGATTCCTGTGGAACAGGCATGGAGCAATAAAGTAGCTAGTTGGAACTCTACAGGCGTGGATCTGGTCGCTGATGCCTGACACCATCCCACAGAAGTCACATTGGATCAGAAGGCTCATTCTAATGAGACCATCTGGGTTTGGACAACCAACACAATCTGAACGTTGTACTGACTTGAACCCTGAACAACGTACCTTCTCGGGGAGATCCGTGAGCAGCTGTTTTTGTCAAGAGAAGAATCCACTTGCAGGTCAGGATCGGGTGGGGAAGTGACTGAAGTGACTGTGTTAGTTTAGGGACTGTGACCACTTCGGCCACAGGACAACCACTTGGGGGAGACAAACTTCCGGAGACAAGGTGGTGTTATAGGAAAGGACAGAGGTACACATGCAGGGTTGAAGGACACAATGAGAGCAGGCTGTGGTAGAGACTGACAAATATACTCTCTTTAAAGCTGGATCTTAGAAGCTTCCCCTTGTTGTTAACTTTCTTATTTTTGTTTCCAACCCAACGCTACTCAAGATCTGCCCTGGACACTATCCTGTGCATGAATTCTGCATGGACACTGACACTAAGCTCTTAAAGTAGGTAATCCTTTAAAATAGTCCTCGACTTACAACCACAATTGAGACCACAATTTCCACTGCTAAGCAAGTTGGTTAAATGAATCGGGCCTGATTTTACCACCTTTTCCCACAGCCCTTGCGGGAATCGCTGTAGCTAAGCGAAACGCGCAATTGCCAAGCCAATCTAGGTTCCCCCGTTGACTTTGCTTGTTGGAAGCCAGCTGGGAAGGTTGCAAATGGCGGTCACATGATTCTGGGATGCTGCGACCATCCTACATAGCAAAGCCCTTGAATTCTGATCACGCAACCGTGCGGATGATGTAACAGTGGTTTAAGTGTGACGACTGCTTGTTCTTAGCGGCGTCGTAACTTTGAATAGCCACTATGTAAAGGATTGTAAGTCGAGGACTACCTGCTCTGATTAATAGGTCAATGAAGACTCCATCATCCTGGCCAAAAGGTATCTAAAAGGTTGAATCATGGTTAGCTGGACCAAAATGTGTTCATCTGAGGGGTTTCGTTGCTCACCCTAGCAACTTCATCAGTCAAAGTAAAAAATAAAAATAAAAATTATATAATGCAATATGTCAAGGGAGACTCAGTCATTCAGGCCAGCAGTCCCCAACCTTTGGGGCTTGGCAACCCAGCTGGGGAGAGGGGGGAGGGGAACTGGCATGTGTGATCAGTGGATCGGCGTGCACACGTGCACGCGCTGCTCCATTCACGCAAGAGGCGCAGTCTCGGCTCCTTCAGGCTTCTCCACGCCAAAAGCTTTTGGAAAGGGACGGAAGGCCTGAAGCAGCGCGAGATCGCTCCTGCAAAGCCTTTCGTCTGTTTGCAAAAGGTTTCGGTGCAAAGAGAAGCCTTGGGGACGTGGTCTTGTGCTCCTTCGGACTCAACGAGGCTGCCCGACGGTCCAAAACCGGATCGGGTGTCCTGCGCAGGCAGCCTTGGTGAGTCAGCCAAGCTGAGTAGGGCACGGTCGTCCCACTCGGCCACTCCACTTTTGGAGCATCGGAAGTGGGCAGCTTGGCGGCCCGGCTCGGGAGGGGGGGAGAGGGGAACTGGGCTGCATGAGCAGTGGGCTGGCGTGCATGTGTACCCACTCACGCAAGAGACACGCCTTTGCAGCACCGCTCATGCGAGTGGAGCTTTGTGCGTGCAACCGGCCCGCCTCTCACGCAGCTCAGTTCCAAATGGGCCACAGCCCGATAGTGGGGTGTGTCTCAGGGGTTGGGGACCCCTAATCCGGACCAAAGGTATCTAAAATCTCCTAATTTTTTTTAAAAAAAATTTCCCTGATGAAGTTGCTTGGATGAGCAAAAAACAAATTTTGGTCCAATGGCCATGATTCAACCCGATTAGCTTGTGGCGCCTTCAAAACCTGCAAAGGAAGGGAGATAAAACAGAGATCAGCTGAGAGCTGGGGGAGAGGGGGGGAAGCACCATCCAGACGTACCTTCTTAATCACAAGAGAGGAAATGGAATTAATGCTGCTCTCGTTGTCATGCATCAGAAGCAGCTCAGAACTGCTCTCCTCCATAACCTCCTGCATGCTGTTGACACTGCTGCTCTGGCTGCCCGTGCTCACAGACATGCTGGGGATTGAGTGATTGCTGCCCAGACTGTCCATCTTCCTAGTCAGGTTTGTCCCATGCTCACTGTCCTACAAAATAAGGAGCGGGAGGTTTAACGCCGGGAGGAAAGGGACCGCCGTCAACCAGAGGGAGACTAGAACAGGGACTGTTCGGCAGACACAAACAGTTCTCGCCTACTTCTTGGTCCCTTCCTCCTTCTGTGGGGTCCTGGGTGCTCTCCCAGCTTGGTGGCTTTCCTGCAAGATATTTCATTATCCGAGGAGGAGGAGGATTGTGGGACACTGTGACCGTCATAAATACGAATCAGGTGCCTAGTGTCCGAATTCTAATCGTGTGACCCTGGGGATCCTGCAATGGTCGTCAAGGGTGAGAAAAGAGTCACATCCCTTTTTTCAGCACCCTTGTAAAATTGATCAGACACCAAATCAGGAGTCTTCCAACTTGGCCCTTTGATGACTTGTGGACTTCAACTCCCAGAATTCCTCAGCCTAGCTGAGGAATTCTGGGAGTTGAAGTCCACAAGTCATCAAAGAGCCAAGTTTGAAGACCCCTGCAGTAAATGAACTAGCCGAAGACTAGCTGTAGAGACGAACTTAGCTTCCAGGCACCTGGTAAATGGCATTTCTTGAAAGAGGATGTTTTGCGGAAGATTATTTCCTGTCCTGCACATTTCAAATGGCTATTTTTGGCTAAGTATCCTCAAACTCCCATCTATTGATTAGGCACCAGGTACGAAAGGGGAGAATCGCACCTGGAAAAGGTTTCACTTCTATTTCAATGGCCATTAGTTAACCCCATCCGAGAGAGCAAGCGATGATTAAAACAAAAAAAAAAAGTTAGTTGCTATGCAGCCTGGGTAATATCTGCCTTGGGTTGTTCCAGCAGCCATGTTGATAGGAAGCAGATGGAGGTTACCGACATGCCTTTAGGTCCAGGTAGTCCTCGACTTACGTCCACAATAGGGACTGGAATACCCGTCAATAAGCAAGGCGAGGCAGTGGTTCAGTCAGCCAGGCGCCCTATTTTGCCACCATTTTAATTTTTTGCCATGGTGGTTAACGAATCCCTGCAGTTGTTAAGCGAATCACATGGCCGTTAAGCGAATCCGGCTTGCAATGTTGGACTTGGCCAACGGCGATCACGTGACCCCAGGTGGTTTGTCAAGCACCCAAATTTTGATCCTGGGGAATGCTGCGATGGTGGTTAAGTGTGAGGCCTGGCCGTAAGCCACTTTCTTCAGTGCTGTTGTAAGCTTGACTGGCTGCTAAACGAATGGTCGTTAAGTCGAGGAGTACCTGAACTCGGGTTTGCATGCTGCATGCAAGGGTTACTTGATGGGATCAAGACCCGCTCCGGAAGAAGGCAGTGGGTGAGGGTGAATTCACACCCAATCACAACTCAAATCAGGCTTCTCCAATCTCTGTCTCTCCCTTGCTAGTTGACGGGCACGCTGGTGGTAAAATGTCTGGGAGAAAGGATCTTGGTCACAGGACTTTCTATTATGGCTCTTGTGGCTTTTAAACCAAGATTGCTTCTAGTCTAAAGAGCTGTGCTGGCCCAGTGGCTGGAATGCAGTACTGCAGGCTAACTCTGTTCACTGCCAGTGGTTCGATCCTGACCGGCTCAAGGTTGACTTAGCCTTCCATCCTTCCGAGGTCGGTAAAACGAGGACCCACATTATTGGGGGGCAAGAGGCTGACGTGGTAAACCACTCGGAGAGGGCTGTAAAGCACTGTGAAGCGCTATTGCTATTGCTACGATACACAAAACTAGAGAGGGTCTCTTTGGAAATGTTTTTCACAGTCCGATTGCTTCTGTGGGATAAAGCTGCCTTTTTTTAATCTGACCATTTCCGAGTCTGGTGCTCCTCGTCTTCCTGTTTCTCAAGGACATTCTCACCAGCCATGACATACACCGGGCTAAGCCATTGTTTGTTTTAACCAGGGCTTGTTGTTGAACACACCGTGGTGGCCTGCGTACAGAAGCTGGATACAATGGTTTACAAAGCACAGTAAACCATGTATTTTCTTCACAGTCCTGTTTTGGTAGCCCCACAATAAATGCTGCACTATTATGTTTGATAAAGACGCAGCCTTCCATCCGTCCAAGGTCATAAAACGAGGACCCAGATTGTTGGGGGCAAGCTGCTGGCTCTGTAAATTGGTTAAGAGAGGGCTGTAAAGGACTATGAAGCGGTATATAAGTCTAAGTGCTATTGCTGTCTGTCTGTCTGTCTGTCTGTCTGCATCTATCTATCTATCTATCTATCTATCTATCTATCTATCTATCTATCTATCTATCTATCTATCTATCTATCTATCTATCTATCTGTTGTCTGTCTGTCTGTCTGTCTGTCTGTCTGTCATCTATCTATCCCTGTGGTTAGAATGCAGTATTGTATGGAAAAAAGTCATACCCCTACATAAATAAAGGATCCACTGAGGATAACATTCTCCAGTTGTCCTCCATACTGACTGTCCTCCATTGCTTGATGACAGCCATAGACTAATCTTATCTCCATTCCAAGGTGGAACGAAGTGACCATTGGTTCATCTCATTTTAATTCAGCCACGGGAGAAGTCGTAGTTCTTACTGGTTGGGCTGGATGCTCTATCAACTCCGTTGGGCGTAACCATTGAAGGAAGACATCTTGACCCACTTTCTTTACTCTGGGTACACAATGGCAACTACGCCTACCGGGCCCTCCCCGTTTTCTTCGTTTACAACTGTTTTGGGATCTAATCAGGGCCTGGTGTCCGTAGCAGTGACCAAAACCTGAGAGCAAAGTTGATTTGCTTCAGATGTTCTGTTGCCCTCTGTCTCAAGGACTGCCTCAAAAGCATCAGCGCCCAGAAGTCAAGACGTCAAGGAGCCTTGTTCCCAACCACATTCCTCGCGTTGTGCTGGGAACCCAATGAAAAAGGACTTGGAAGGGACCCTGTGAAGCAGGAGACACGTTATTATTACTATTATGATGATACTGTTATCATTTATCAGCGGTATAGATAAACTTGATACCTCCTCCTCTTCCTGGGACTCGTTCAGAGGGCCATTGTGGACCTCCTGGAAAAGGATTTTCTTCATTTTCCGATACTGAAGGTTATCCAACTCTCGGACCGCATCCTTGGTTCTCTGAATCAAGTCTATGAGGACCCGGGGAGGACGCTCACAGCGTACAAATTCATGCTGGGTTTTAGAAGGATAACAGAAGCGGTCTGGGTGAGAAGACAGAAGAGGCAAAACGAGACCCCCTGCCCAGCACAATCCCTGCAGATCTCTCTCTCTCTCTCTATTATGGTAGACAATGTTGATGGAAAAGGACCCCCTTGCAACTGGGGAAGGAACAGGTTTATTTCAATGGGGGCATCCTAAGTTAAAAGGCATTCAAAGGCCAGTTAATCCTTGACTTGTGACCACAGGCGAGTCCAAAATTTCCACCGCTAAGCAAGACCGTTGCTAAGTGAGTTTTGCCCACATTTAACAACTTTTCTTGCTGAAATTAGGAAGGGAATCCCTGCAGCTGTTTAGTTTGTTAAGTGGATCCGGCTTCCCCGTGGACTTTGCTTGTCAGAAGGTCACAAAAGGGGATCACGTGACACCCCCCGGGACACTCCGACCGTCATAAAGACAGGCCCGTTGCCAAGTGGCCAACTTGGAGCATTGCTAGAATGGAACCGTTGGGTTTCCTCAAGCTAGTCTGACACATCTGGAGACACATTTCTAGGGGTGGAATCGGGTGGGGAGGAAAGGTTGGCAGTCTCTAAAGGAAAACTCAGCTGCCTCCCCACGACACCACGTTTTCCCAAGCAGAAAGGTGAAACGTTACCCTCAAAAGTTCCGACGATGATGGACGCTCCTGAGGTATTTTCTGCAAGCAGTAATCGACAAATCTTCTAAAAGAGTCTGTCCTGAATATGGGAACAGAAGGGATGTCAGAACGTGCTCAGGTAGGAGAAGGGAAAGAAATTCAATGTGTGGCAGCTGAGAATCACCGATGGCTAGCCCTGAGGATGTTACCCAGTTGGGTAATGAAATGTCTGCAAGGAAACCACCAAGCTTAGAGAGCAAGAGGGATGATGGCCTCCTCCTCCTCCTCCTCCCCTTTCCTTTTCCTCCTCCCTGCAAACCCTGCTCTCTCTTCTAGCACTGATGATGTTACCTAGTTGGGTCATGAAATGTCTGCAAGAAGACCATCAAACTCAGAGAGCACCAAGGTCCCCACAGTTCAACCCTGAGATGCAAATACTCTCTTCTATCAGTAGCTGAGAATCAGAAGGACATCACAGGCTGATTCCCCATGTATTTCATGAGCTTTTACTTCATCTAAGCCAAGATCAAGCCAACCACATCACAGCTGCTTGCTGGTCAGTTTCCAACCATTGTTTCTCGTCCTGCCCTCTGGTGCTTTGGTGAATAACGTGACCCCCTCCTCTTCTTTGTGGCAACGCCTCAGATACTGGAACGCTGCTATCATGTCTCCCCTGTTTCTTCTTTTCTTTAGTCACTAGCCAAACCCAAGTCCCACAGCCGTTCTTTGTATGTTTTAGCCTCCAGGCCTTGGATCATCTTAGTTGCTCTTCTCTGCTTTAACTTAATGCGAGGTCCTGATTCTTCACGCCTGACAACACACAACCTAAGAACCGGATTGGTCTTTTGGGTGCTCTGAGACTCCCGATGTTTTAAATCCTACTAACTGATATTTCGTACTTCACTCTCAGAGGGGGACGCTTGCGGCAAAACTATCACACAACCCTCCTCCAGAAACCAAACCCCCAGCTCTTACCACTCGTTGGACTGTAGCACAGGGGAATCGTTTTGGGCTATGTGATATAAGGCACTCATAGCGTTCATATTGAAGAGAGGAGGTTTCCGCTCGGCTGTAAGGAAAAACGGAGGAAAAAATAGAGATAAAGAGAGATACTCTGGACTCACTGGGCAACTCCAGCTGGCTTCCGAGCCGTAAGAAGATAAATGTAGAAACAATTAAAATTCCTACATTATTCCTTATGGGAAAAATCTGTTTGGTACTCATCGTTTTTGGTACCCATTGCGCCTCCTGGAACCAATTAACATTGATGACCAAGTCTTACCTAAAAACTAGAACCCAGGAGGCGGATAGCATGGGGATGGGGGTTTGCTGGTTTTGTTTTATTTAAGGAGATACATTTTGCAGAACAAAAGATTGCTTGCCCAAACAAAAGCAAACAAGCGCAGGCAACTTTGAGAACCAAAAAGGGGAGGCCACAATTTTTGCACCCCTGTTTCGAGACTGTTTCGGCAAGAAGCCTTCCATGGCAAAACTAGAATCCAACCCAAGATTATTTCCAAGAGAAAACCAGAATTAGCCAGAGCTACTGCATGAAATTCAACAGTTGTCAACCCCGACTGACTTACCTAACTCAATGCAGGTAATTCCGAGAGACCAAACGTCCACCTTCCCGTCATACTGTCCATCATCCATAGCCAAGATTACTTCTGGAGCCATCCTACCAGACATGAATTCAAAGAGGGATGATTATGGGATGAAGAAAGAAAGAAAGAAAGAAAGAAAGAACAAAAGAAAAAGAAAGAGGAAAGAAAGAACAAAAGAAAGAAAGAGGTTTGAAGGAAGGAAAGAAAGAAAGAAAGAAAGAAAGAGGAAGAAAGAAAGAAAGAAAAAGGGAGGAAGGAAGGAAAGGAGGAAAGAAAGAAAGAAAGAAAGAAAGGGGGAGGAAAGAAAGAGGAAGGAAAGAGGAAAGAAAAAAAAGAAAGAAAAAGAAAGAGGGAAAAAAGAAAAACGAAAGAAAAAACAAAGAAAGAAAGGGAGGGAGGGAGGAAGGAAGGAAAGAAAGAAAGAAAGAAAGGGAAGGAGGGAGGGAGGGAGGAAAGAAAGAAAGAAAGAAAGAAAGAAGGAAAGAAAGAAAGAGGGAGGGAAGGAGGAAGGAAGGAAGGAAAGAAAGAAGGAAAGAAAGAAAGAAAAGAAGGAAGGAAAAGAGAGAGAGAGAGAGAAAAAAGCACAGCACTGCAACAGATGCATTCACCCCCCCCCCCTTCATGTCCTCCAGACCAACCCGGGATAACTCAAAAAAAATAAAATCAGCATGGAACAGAATTAAGCCATGCTGGGGAGGTTAAAATAATAATAATAATAACAACCGTCCTCGTACCTTAAGAAGCCAAGAATCCCTTCTGGGGGTGGGGTGGGAGGGGGAATGATGATGGATGGATGGAGAATGCAAAATTAAAAAGGTCTCATGAGCCCTCTCAGTGCAACATGCTGGCAAATGGGCAGCCCGCACCGGCACTGTACCTGGATCCAGCCAAGCAGGGGCTGAAAGGCTCCTGGGGCACCAGGTCTCACCAGACTGAGGGTGAGTTTTCCCATTGAGACACCAACTGGGTTTTCTTGGAGATGTTCAGCCTGGGGTTGCAGCTATGAAAGAAATAAGGGGATCTGGAGCACAGAAGGGAAAGTGGGGGTGGGTGGGTCGGGGGGGAGAAGGCAGGGTTGCAAGGCAAACACAGAAGGGAGACCCACACTACAAGCGTGTCTGGGGGGTGGCCGGGTCCTCCTCACCTGAGCATAATCTCCGACAGGTAATCCTTGACTTACAGAAAGACCGCGGAAAACCCTACAGGGAGTCGTGCAACTTACAACAGGGCTCTTCAAACTTGGCCCTTTGATGACTTGAGGACTTCAACTCCCAGAATTCGCGTGCCTGGCTGAGGAATTCTGGGAGCTGAAGTCCACAAGTCATCAAAGGGCCAAGTTTGAAGAGCCCTGACTTACAACAACTTCATTCGAAGTTACAACGGCTCCAAAAAAAGGGACTCGTGACTGTTTTTTAACACTTAACGACCATTGCAGCCTCCCCATGCTCACAGGATCAAAATTCAGACCCTTGTCTGCTGACTCATATTTATGACGGTGGCACTGTCTCCGGGGGTCGGGGTGTCGTGTGATTCCCCCCCCCCCGTGACCTTCTGACGAGCAAAGTCGATGGAGAAGTCGCATTCCACTTAACAACCGTGGAACTAACTTAAGAACTGCGGCAATTTGCTTATCAACGGAGGCCCAGTGAAGTTGTAAAATGGGGCAAAACTCACTTAACAGATGTTGCGCTGAGCAAACAGAAATGTGGGGCTCGATTCTGTCGTTAAGTTGAGGACTGCCTGTAACTTAAAACTTCCAGTGATTGAGCACTCACAACTTCTAGTGACAAGCCATTCCACTGATTAATTGTTCTCACTGTCAGGAAGTTTCTCCTTACTTCTAAGTTTCTTCTCTCCTTGTTTAGTTTCCACCCGTTGCTTCTTGTCCTGCAAATTCAGGCGCTTTGGAGAATAGCTTGACTCCCTCTTCTTTGGGGCAGCCCCTGAGATATTGCAAGGCTGCTATCATGTCCCCCTCGTCCTTCTCTTCATTAAACTAGACATCCCCAATTCCAGCAACTGTTCCTTTTATATGTTTTAGCCTCCAGTCCCCTGATCATCTTTGTTGCTCTTCTCTGTACTCTTTCTAGAGTCTCAACATCTTTTTTACATCGTGGTGACCAAAACTGGGCTCCCCTGTGGTCGTGAGTCAAGGACTACCTGTATATAAATCAAATAAATCAACCAGCCAACCAACCTAGAGGCATCTGAGACGGGGGGGGGGGGCTGTATAAATCAAATAAACAATACACTAATAACCCCACCAGCCAACCCATGGGCTCCTAGAAGGTGCCATGCATTGGAAGCTCACACCAAAATGACACAAACAGAATGTACACAAGAACGTAGTGACTGAAGAGGCTTGGGTAGGACATACATTATTTGTAGGCAACTGGGCTAAAAGTCGACAAGGGAAGCAGGCCCTCTAAAGTATTCTGATTATAAAAATGATAAAGAGTTGAGCAGGGATCTCCAAGCTTGGTGAATTTAAGATTTGTGGACTTCAACTCCCAGAATTCCCCAGGCCAGCCAAATTCAATCCTTCAGTTTTGGAAGTTGAAGTCCACAAGTCTTAAAATTGTCAAGTTTGGAAACCTCTGGAGTAGAGGATCTGTACTACCCATTCCCCAGTAGTTGCCAAACTACCAGGTTTTCTCCGAATATTTAGTCTCTGAAACAATTGCTCTTTTTTCCACAATACTTGCCTGGCACCACAAAAATGGGCACCTATTTGCCTCATAAATTGGCTTTAGTTGATCAGCTTGTTTCTGGAGAGTGGGGGAAAAAAATCATTGCAAATGGCTTCTCCTGTTCCAACTTTCAGCATCCATTGGGCCAGGACGGTAAAATACCATATTTACATACAAATTCTTGATTTAGAACAAGTTGGCAATTTTAAGACTTGTGGACTTCAACTCCCAGAATTCCTCAGCTGGCAGGCTGGGGAATTCTGGGAGTTGGAAGTCCACAAGTCCTAAAGTTGAATATTGGGAGTTGAAGTCCACAAGTCCTAAAGTTGAATCTTGGGAGTTGAAGTCCACAAATCTTAAATGTTGAATTCTGGGAGTTGAAGTCCACAAGTCTTAAAGTTTGGAGACCCCCTAATCTAAGGTTTTCCAGGCTTTGCCATCTGCAGACCTGTGAACGTCAACTCCCAGAATTCTCAGGAAGAGCCACGACGACTGAAGAATCCTGGGAACTGAAGTCCGCATCCACGGAAGACGGGAAATCCAGATTTTGAAGGTCTGGATTGTACATAAAAGCAAAACCGATCCTTTGGTTCAACATCTTTTGAAAGACTAGAGGAAAAGTGCACATCGGCTCCACTTACCAGTAAGGGGTTCCCACGAAAGAATTGGCGGGAGAGGCTATAGACGCAGATCCAAAGTCCGCAAGCTTCACTTGACCCGGTTCCGTTAGGAGAATATTTCCCGCCTTAACATCCCTGCAGAAAAGAAGGCAAGTTGTCCTCAATTTAGTGACCGTTCAAACTTACAACGGCACTGAAAAAAAGGGACTTAGGACCGGTTTTCACAGTTACGACCTTTCCAGCTTCCCCATGATCACGTGATCAAAATTCAGACGCTTGGCAACCAGTTCGTATTTATGACGGTCGCAATGCCCCGGGGTCGTGTGATCCCCTTTTGCGACCTTCTGACAAGCAAAGTCAATGGAGGAAGCCGGATTCATTTAACAACTGTGCTACTAACTGAACAACTGCCGTTGTTAAGCTAAGAGATAAGAGTCCCTTGGCCAAGTCCACTTAACAATCCTGGTGAGGAAGGTCGTAAAACGGGGCCAAGCTGCCTTGACGAATTCTGGCTTAGCGACGGAAACGTTGGGCTCAGTTTGGTCGTAACCTGAGGACTATTCTGTTGCACTCACGTTTCTGGAGGAAGGTGAGTTGCAGAAGGCAGAGAGGAAGCAGAAAGGCACAAGGCTAAATTGTGAGAAGGAAGCTCAGCTCTTACCTGTGAATTTTATAATGTGAATGAAGATACGCCAGTCCCTGCAAGGCACCGTCGGTAATGGCAGCGATCTCTACTTCCTGCAGTGGCTTTTTATGTACTGGATTGGAAGAAACCAGATTTCAGTCCAGGGTTCTCACCCGTAGCAACTTTAAGACGTGTGGATAAGGTTGAATAAAAGCTGATTCACTCCTTTCAATGGCACAGAAGGATTAGGAGGGGGGCTAACTAAGGATCCATCTCAAACTGGTCTAGAGTCTAGTGATTAAGGCACCAGGATAGAAACTGGGAGGCTGTGAGTTCTAGTCCCTCCTTAGGCATGAAAGCCGGCTGGGTGGCTTTGGGCCAATCCCCAGGAGACGGTGAGTTCTACTCCTGCATGAAAGCTGGGTGACTTTGGGCTGGTCACTAGGAGTGGGTGAGTTCTAGTCCCGCCTTAGCCATGGAAGCTGGCTGGGTGACTTTGGGCTAATCCCTCTTTCTCAGCCCAAGCCACTTCACAAAGCTGTTGTCATGGGGAAAATAGGAGAAGGAAGGAATATTAGATAGGTTTGCCACCTCAAGTTATTTATAAAAATAATAAAGGCAAGATAAAATAAAATAATAAAATAAAATGAAATAATAAAAAATAAAATAATACAATAAAATAAAAATATAATAAATTAAATTAAATAAATAATAAAATAAAATAAAAAATAAAAAATAAAATAAAAATGAAATAAATAAAATAAAAAATAAAATAAAATAAAATAAATAAAATAAAATAAAATGAAATAAATAAAATAAAATAAAAACATAAAAAACATAAAATAATAAATTAAATTAAATTAAATAATAAAATTAAATAAAATTAAATTAAATTACATACATGCATACATTCATAAATGGTCTAGGTCTGTAATCCACCAGCACTTAAAATGTAGACTGGAAAAATGGGGAGGGGGAAACATGGTTTTTATTTCTCCTGCCCACGGAGCCCATGCTCTCCATATCTCATCCTTCTGCTTCTACCCAGGGGGAATGAGCGCATGGGAAACGACCACGGAGGATTTATCCTAGTGCCACCAAAGAAAGACAGACCCTTCTTTTCCAGCTTTTAAATCAAGATGTCGCGCAAGGAAATAATCTCGGGCCAGAGTCTCTTGGCCAAGTCTGTCAGCTCGGTTGCCAACTACGGAAATAAAACACGGCTGGGCCCGGGGTCTTGGAAATTGGCAGCGGACGATTAGAAAAGACTGGGAAAGGTCCTCCTGATCTACCCCACGGGCTTGCCAAACCGAAGCGTGGAAAGATGGAAACCAGACCCCGGGCCATTAATTCAGACGCAGGCTGACTGCCTGGAAACTTTCAAGCTAGACGAGTCAGCCAAAGGGATGTCGGACAGAAACCGTCCGTCGACTAAAGAGGAGAAGATTGGGCGGTCACTCTACGGGAGTGTGATGGGCCTAAGAAAGGCTGTTGCGGCATGTAATTCCCTGAAAACCTCAGCCACATTGCCTTAAAGATGGCACAGTGTAGGAGGTCAAAAGACTTACCTTCCAACAGATCTGAAGCGGATCCCAGGCAGTATTCCATCACTAGCTGTGAAAAGGTAGAAAGAAATGCAGCTGTTGAAGAACGGTGGGGTCCTTGGTGCTCTCTTGAGCTGGTTGGTTTTCTTGCAGAGGTCTCATTACCCAACTAGGTAACATAATCATTGCTAGAAGGGGCTGGGGTTTGTGGAGGGGAGGAGGAGGAGGAGGGGAGGACAAATAGGAGGAGGACTGTGGGGTCGTTGGTGCCCTCTGAGCTTGGTGGTTATCTTGCAGAGGTTTCATTACCCAACTAGATAATATCATCAACGCTAGAAGGAAATGAGGTTTGCAGAGTGGAAGAGGAGGAGGAGAAGGAGGAAGACTATGAAACTGCCTCAAACTACACTTCCCAGCATCATTTGGGAATCACGGTGTTCTAAAGGACCTATGCCCTTACCAAGCTTGCGAGGCAACTTAAGGAAAGTTGTGGATGCTCCATCAGTGGAGGCTTTGGAGAAGAGGCTGGACAGCCATTTGTCCGGAATCACGTAGACTCTCCTGCTCGATTGGGGGGGGGGGGATGAACTAGATGACCTCCAGGGTCCCTTCCAACTCTGTTGTTCTGCTCTGTTCTGTTCTAAGACACAGCCCTTAACATCTCCTGTTCCTTTGGGTGTGTCATTAGGGCTGCAGCTTAAAGGACAACAGCAGAAGAGGGATACTATCTCCATTCTGGAAAGGGTTCTCCTCCAAAGAACGAAAGCCAAACGAAAGATCTAGCATTATGTTTCCATCCGTTCTAAGAAACCATCTTGGCGCAAAACATCTAAAAAAAAAAAACCTTGCGGAGGCGCGACTCACCCAGGCGGTGTGTTCTTTCAAATAGCATCCTTTATATTCTATGGTGTTCGGGTGCTTCAGCTGTTGCAAAAACCTGACTTCTTTGATAATATCCTGCCATTTCTGTTAATTAAAGCAGGGGGGAGGGGAGGGGAGGGGAGGAGAGGGGAAAAAAAGGAAACAAAGTGAATATCAAGATTCGCTTTATCAAGAAAATTCTGAAGATGACAAACTGGGAAATTGTTGAGGTGAGATCGAAGTGCTCTGCTTTCTGCACTTTTGTTCACCATGAGTTTTATGACTAGGAATGGCTTAGGAAGGACATTGCTCCCTGGGCTTACAAAAAAGATTAGGAGGAAATGTTAATTATTCCTTATCTCTTTAAGATATAAAGACCAAAGGGCACTTATCCAAGGCTAATAGTTGCCCGGGGCAATCAGAATTAGATTATGCAAGGCTGCAGCTCGTATTAAAAGAGAAAATAAAACGGGAGTCACCTCTAGGTGAGAAAGGTAGCACACAAATCTGTAAATAAGGAAAATAAAAAATACACACTACCTCAGGCAGTTACTTAAGAGAGTGCAGGGAGTCCTCTTACTTACAACCATTTGTTTAACCGTCATTCGACGTCACAATGGCACTGGAAAAAGCGACTCGGGACCCGTTTTCAGTTACGACCTTTGCAACATCCTTGTGGTCCCGCGATCAAAATTGAGACGCTGGGTTTGCATTTATGACGGTGGGCCTTATCCCGGGATGTATGATCCCTTTTTGTGAGTCAAGAGTGACTCGCTTAAATGACTGTGGCAGGGAAGGTCGTAAGGTCCCTTCCAACTCTGTTATTCTATTTTTAATATTGGCAGTGATTTCCTACACACTCACATACAGGTGGCACATTACAATTCGTGTAAAAGCCTACAAACAGGTAGCAAACCACATAGTGGACCAAAACCAAAAATAGATTTATTACAAAATATGGAAAAGAGATTCAGAGTTCAGATTCTGTTAGAAACATATCCCCAGCAGTAAATAATAACACACATCTTTAGAGCACTGCTGGGTGGCCGCAGAACCGAGGCTTTGAGTGTGTCCTTCCTACCTCGTTAGTTTGTTTTCCGCCATAAGACATCTTCTTGACTGCCACCACTTCGTTAGTGCGGGCGTTGGTGGCCTGGAAATGGAAGAAGGAGGGAGGGGAGAGAAATAAAATTGAATAAATGTTCTCATTTCTTGTAGGGTCAAGAAGTCATCAGAAGACAACCTGGATTAAGAGTTCATTCAGTTCTGGGTGAAGGTTGATATTAGAAGCCCTCAAGAACTACAGCAATCTTGACCAAAATATTGGCCTGCTTAAGTATTCCGATTTGTAGGTGCCGGCTCCTCAAAATTAATTTCCTCAAGGGCTGAAAAATTCCAGGAAGGTTTTTTTTTTCTTTGGAGGCATGCATGAAATTTTACCTTTAAATCAACTATCGCTGCTGCTCATCCTCTTAGGAACAACCTCCCTTAAACACATCTATCCTTCAGAGGAGGATTCTTCAAGTTCTCCAGTTGGAGAAAGGATGCTGAAGAACATCCTCAAAGATTGTCCTATCCCAGTTCAACTTGAAGATGGGTGGACTTCAACTCCCAGAATTCCCTAGCCAGCCAAGCAAGAGCAGTTGGGAAGTGACTTGAGCCCAATTTTACAAGCTCTGCAGTTTTTGGAATCACACAACGGCCATTTGCAACCTTCCGACAAGCCAAGTCAACAGGGGAAGCCGGATTCTCTTAGTGACCAAGTGATTCACTTTATAACTTAAAAAAAAATAGGATGGGACTCACTTAGCAATCACATTGCTTAGCAACAGAAAGACCCGGGTCCCAATTGTGGATGTTAAGTCAACGACTGCCTAGACCAGGGGTCTTCCAACTTGGCCCTTTTATGACTTGTGGAGTTTGAGAGAGAGAGAGAGAGACAGAGGAAGAGAAGGAGGAGGAGGAGGGAGGGAAGGAGAGGAAGAAGAGAGAGAGAGAGGGTGAGAGGGAGGGAGAGGAAAAGATGGAGACAGGAGGAAGGAGAGGGAGGGAGAACGGAAAGCAAAAGCTACTTACAAAATAAACTGCCCCAAAACTCCCATGTCCAATTTCATGTAAACCCACAAACAGCTCCTGAGGATCATCTTTGTAAAAGAGCTCGGCGATGTCGGGGTCCTTCGGCACCCCTTTCCGCATGTTGGGAGAAAATTAGGACCTCGCCCCCACTTCAAAATACAAGATGGCTTCCTCCTTCATTGACGATGGGATTTCCAAGTGGTTCAGAGCCTGGGGGGGGGGGAGAGAGAGAAAAAAACCGAGGCGGTTAAATTCAAGTACCTCTTTTTTTCCAGAGTTTTCGCTTCATGTTCTTTCCGTACAGAAATTCAGAAAAAAATATTTGGTATTATTATTATTATTATTATTATTATTATTATTATTATTATTATTATTATTATTATTATTATTTGCCCCTTCAATTTTGTGGGAAGTTTATAAATGAAGTTTAAAACGAAATTCTGGGTGGTTAAAAATCCAAACAGTTTAAAGCTCCTGAGATTGAAAAATATTGTTATAATGCAAAGGAGCTGGTTTCCTCACGCTTCTCATTCCTGGACTTAACAACCGTTCATTTGGTGACCGTTCCCTGGAAAAACGTGACTTATGACCGTTTTTCACATTTACGACCGTTGCAGCATCCCCCAGGGTCACTATTATTTCCTTCCTTCCTTCCTCCCTCCCTCCCTCCCTCCCTCCCTCCCTGTCTTAATTTTTATGTCGCTATCTCCCCCTACAAGGTAACTCTGGGTGGCTTATAAAACAAGTAAAAAAATAATTAAAATATCAAAACATTAAATGGACAGTCAATTAGAAAAGAGCCCTGGAAGACTGTTATATGCCTCCAAACGGAAAAATTCTGAATTACTCACAATGGAAGAATGATTGCTGAAGAAGACAGAACTGGCAGGGATGTCAAAAATCCACTTGATTAGGGGAAGATCAACAACTTCATTTAACAGGGACTGGAAACCTCTTATGGACTGCTTGCGGGGGAAAAAAGAGAGAGAAAAATGAACCTGCGATTGATGGGTTTGGGGATTAGAAAGGATAAAATACCTCAACTCTCATCTATAAATAAATTTTAAAGCCTAGTTATTCAGTCACCATCAACAAAGGTCAATTGAGAATTACCAGCAATAAAATCTACACTTTAACCTGAATCAAATCAGCTAACTTCGTATTCTTTTCCTTTTCTTTTCAGCTCATAGCTTATCGGATGGGATCGCTCCCCAATTCAATATAATACATTCCTTCCCCATTCTCCTTCAAACTTCTTAAAAAAGACCCATTTACATGAAAAAAACAAAAACAAATATTTATAAGGTGGTCCTCGGCTTACGACCACAACTGAGCCAAATTTTTGTTGCTAAGCGAGACAGTTAAGTGAGTTTGCCCCGTTTTATGACCCTTTTCACCACCCTTGTTAAGCGAATCCCTGCATTTATTAAGTTAGTCACACGGTTGTTAAGTGGATCCAGACTCTCCCCCGACTTTGCTTGTCAGAAGGTCGCAAAAGGGGATCACGTGACCCCGGGACACTGCGACCGTCGTAAATATGAGTCAGTTGCCAAGTGTTTGAATTTTGGAGATTTTGCCGCAACGGTTGTGTGAAAAACGGTCCTTTTTTCAGTGCCGTCGTGACTCTGAACGGTCACTAAATGAACTGCTGTAAGTCGAAGATCCCCTGAATTGTTTTTATCTCATTCAAACATTACTGCAGCAGAACTGTATTTTGAAAACCTCAAATGACCCCCCCACACACAGGCACACACATCTGTGTGTCGCCCAGAGACACAAACTACAAAATTCTGAAAGGCCGAATAATGAAAATGATATCACCCGTCCCGATGGGAGTGACTCATTTCTGCAGATGATCTGCCTTTGAATGGGAGAAATCTCAGAAAAATCAAGATATTTTGGATGGAGCTTTGCTTGTTTGTGTGGACCGGTTGCTAGCATGCCGTGGCCCGGTACCGGTCCACAGCCCAAGGGTTGAGGACCCCTGTTCTAGCCTACTAGATACACCCTGAGAGATTCTAGGGTCTGGTTACCCTCCCCTCTTCCCCTTTCCTCCACCCAATTCAACACTGCACAGTCTCTTAATCCGAGCTTCTCTTTGGGGAAGCCCTGTGTTGCCAAAAATCTCCCCCAGGTGCACTTTTCATGACATGGAAGGATATTTTTTTCATTTCATTTTTTTTTTTTAAAAAAAAAGGAGAACAGAATTTTGGAGATGTTCTTATACACAGAATATGCATTTTATTAGTGATGAGATCACTCTGGCCTTCAGTTATCTCATTCTCCCTCTGGAGGTGTCTGCAAGCTCTCCAGTTTCCCATCTTTCCAGGAAGGGAAGATCTTCTGAGAAGAAACCCTCCAGTCAGGATTTCTTTCAGGACAACAGTTCGTTTAATCGCCGTTCGAAGTTATGGCAGCACTGAAAAAAAGGGACCTAGGACCATTTTTCATTTCTGATGTATGTCTCTTATGATGGTTATGACCGTGATTGATCGCTTGTTGCTTATATGTACACTGAGAGACAAATTGATTGTGTGTCCAATCACAGTTGGCCCACAAAGAATTCTATTCCATTTTATTTTGTTCTGTCCTATTCTGTTCCATTCCATTCCATTCCATCTTTATTCTATTCTATTCTATTCTATTCTATTCTATTCTATTCTATTCTATTCTATTCTATTCCTTTGTTATTCTATTCTCTGTTAGTCTATTCTATTCCGTTCCGTTCCATTCTATTCTATTCCTGTTCTATTCTATCCCATCCCATCCCATTCAATTCCATACTTGCTAACTGTGGCAAGGAAGGTCGTAAAATGAGGCAAAACCCATTTAACAAATGTCTTGTTTAGCGACAGAAATTCTTGGGCTCAATCTCGCTCATAAGTCTAGCACTGCCTGTATCCCAAATGGACTTAACCAGCAAATTCCAGAAACGATTAAGAAAAGATGTGGATGAAGCTAAGGCTTGCTTAGCGACTGAAATTTTGGGCTCAGCTGTAGTAAGTCGAGGACTACCTGCAATAGCAGCAATTCTTCACCTACCTGGACAATTATGGCATTAACCATAGTCTACGGCTCAAATGCATTTTGGCAAAACGTGATTTTTCTTTCGGTGTTCCTGTTGGCTCCCTGTTCGCAGATTTTCTGACCTGCAGAGAAGGGGAAAGCAGCAATAATTAAAATAAACAATACGCGGTGTGCCTTCTTTTTGATCACGGGCCACTTTTGAACAATTGATTGAACTACCATTCAACCCCCTCTTGGCCTTTTCCCTCTTTGCTTTTAAATGGATCCCACGACCGTGGGGACACAGCAACAGTCGTAAATATGAACCAAACCTTGGAATTTGGATCACGTGATGGGGGGGGGGGGATGCTGCCAAGGTCATAACTCTGAAAAAAAAAAACTGAGTCACTTTTTCCAGTGCCCTTGTAACTCTGGACGGTCACTAACTGAACTGTTGTAAGTCAACCCTAACTCTGATCCTAACCCTCACCCTGACCCTCACCCTGACCCTAATCCTGACCCTAACTCTAACCCTGACCCTAACCCTAACCCTAACTCTAACCCTGATCCTAATCCTGACCCTAACACTGATCCTAATCCTGACCCTGACCCTAACCCCAACACTAACCCTGATCCTAACCCTAACCCTAACCCCAACACTAACCCTGATCCTAACCCTAACCCTGACCCCAAGACTAACCCTGATCCTAACCCTAACCCTGACCCTAACCCTAACCAACACTTCTACTCACAGTCAAAGATATGGGGAAGTGGAGGTACGTTCGGTGTTCTGGCTCCTGCTAAGCTCAGCTGAGCATCCTTCGTCTTTGTCCATGGTTTCTCTTTCCCAAAACGAGGTTCTTTCAAGAGTCTGACTGTTTGCAAAGCATCTGACAATATGACTAAGGATGAATGCAGCGAGGGGCTGCCCACACGGTTTGGCTGGGTGCGGAAGCCGTGCAACTATGAGGCATCCACCACATCAGATGTCGTTCCTCCAGCTTTTCCCCCCCGCTTCGCATTTGCTGGGGGTGGACAGCTATCTGAACCGCATGAGTCAGGCTTGTGTGTTTTTCAATCGTCCCCATCAGCAGGGAGTTCAAGACAGGAGGAAGGAGAGCACAAACCTACACAAGGCAATCTATTTGGCTGCAGGTATTCTTCGACATACAACGGTTCGATTAGTGACCTGTTCCAAATTACCGCGGCACTGAAATAAAGGGACTTAGGACCGTTTTTTTTTCACCTTTATGACCGTTGCGGCCTCCCAGGGTCACCTGATCAAAATTCAGAGGCTTGGAAACTGACTTGTGTTTATGACAGTTGCAGTGTGCCAGGGTCACATGATTCCTCCTTTAGCGACCTTCTGACAAGCAGAGTCCAGCCCCCTGCTCAAGCAGGAGAACCTATACCATCTCAGGGAAGGAAGGAAGGAAGGAAGGAAGGAAGGAAGGAAGGAAGGAAGGAAGGAAGGAAGGAAGGAAGGAAGGAAGGGAGGGAAGGAATAGAATAGAGCTGGGAGGGACCTTGGAGGTCTTCTAGTCCAGCCCCCTGCTCAAGCAGGAGAACCTATACTTTCTCAGACAAGTGACTGTCTAACCTCTTTTTAAAAATCTCCAGTGATGGATTAAACACGATAAGTTTTAATGCTGAAAACATGTCGGGGGGGGGGAATGCCTGCCCCTAATTTGTACGCCCTTGATCACCTGGGGTCCAAGCAACACCCTCCTAAACTGGCTTCTAGCAAGCGTATTTTATACTCCGTGAAGGCGAAGGCTTCAACGCAAAATCCAGATACGTTCCCGTCCAATCTAGGAATACAAACAGGGGACTTTGCATAACTCCACAGAGGTGAGAGACTATTAACAGAGAAACAATCATTAACAAGTCTTACACCTACTCGCTGTCAAAAAAAAAGCCAACAAGTGTTGGCTTACTCTCAAGCTAAGCCTCCCATTTCATTTTGATTGTTTATTACTCTAAACGTCTTGCTCAGCCAATCACCTCGACAGGTAGAAAGGTGAAAAAACCTGACCTGAAAGCAAACAAAACACCTGACGGGAAGACTTCAAAGTCCATCAGATGTCTTCAGAAATATCACGGCCAACCTCACC